TGTGTGTGTGTGTGTGTGTGTGTGTGTGTGTGTGTGTGTGTGTGTGTACAGCAAATATAAAGGAGAACTGTGTATCTGAAGTTGGAATGTCCCTGTTTGACTTTGATGGATTTCTTTCATGCTCCTTATAGAAAGAAGCAGATGCCATTGATGACACACTGGGCTCCAAACTTAAAGTCAGAGAGCTTTCGGTGATTGATGGTCGGAGAGCTCAGAATTGCAACATCCTTCTATCGAGGTATTGTTGATGTTGTCTAAACATTTCTGGTAGGACCAACTTTCTTTTTTTTTCTAATTTAATTTAATTTTTTTATACAGCAGGTTTTTATTAGTTATCTGTTTTAAACATATTAGTGTATATATGTCAATCCCAATCTCCCAATTCATCTTACCACCCCCCGCCCCTGCTTTCCCCCCTTGGTGTCTATACGTTTGTTCTCTACATCTGTGTCTCTATTTCTGCCTTGCAAACAAGTTCATCTGTACCATTTTTCTAGATTCCACATATATGCGTTAATATATGATATTTGTTTTTCTCTTTCTGACTTACTTCACTCTGTATGAGTGAAGTTTCTAGGTCCATCTGACTGACTCTTTCTGACTTACTTCACTCTATGAGTGAAGTTTCTAGGTCCATCTGCGTCTCTACAAATGACCCAATTTCATTCCTTTTTATGGCTGAGTAATATTCCATTGTATATATGTACCACATCTTCTTTATCCATTCATCTGTTGATGGGTATTGAGGTTGCTTCCATGACCTGGCTATTGTAAATAGTGCTGCAATGAACATTGGAGTGCATGTGTCTTTTTGTGTGTTTTTTTTTTTTTATAAATTTTATTTATTTATATTTTTTATTTTTGGCTGTGTTGGGTCTTCACTGCTACACGTGGGCTTTCTCTAGTTGTGGCGAACGGGGGCTACTCTTCGTTGTGGTGCATGGGCTTCTCATTGCAGTGGCTTTTCTTGTTGCGGAGCACAGGCTCTAGGCACATGGGCTTCAGTAATTGTGGCTCATGGGCTCTAGAGTGCAGGCTCAGTAGTTGTGGCGCATGGGCTTAGTTGCTCTGTGGCACGTGGGATCTTCCCAGACCGGGGCGTGAACCTGTGTCCCCTGTATTGGCAGGTGGATTCTTAACCAGTGTGCCACTAGGGAAGTACCATGTGTGTCTTTTTGAATTATGGTTTTCTCTGGGTATATGCCCAGTACTGGGATTGCTGGATCATATGGTAATTCTATTTTTAGTTTTTTAAGGAACCTCCATACTGTTCTCCATAGTGGCTGTATCAATTTACATTCCCACTAGCAGTGCAAGAGGGTTCCCTTTTCTCCACCCCATCTCCAGCATTTGTTGTTTGTAGATTTTCTGATGATGCCCATTCTAACCAGTGTGAGGTGATACCTCATTGTAGTTTTAATTTGCATTTCTCTAATAATTAGTGATGTTGAGCAGCTTTTCATGTGCTTCTTGGCCATCTGTATGTCTTCTTTGGAGAAATGTCTATTTAGGTCTTCTGCCCATTTGTTTTTTTTTGTTTTTTTTTTGTTTTTTTGCGGTACACAGGCCTTTCACTGTTGCGGCCTCTCCCGTTGCGGAGCACAGGCTCCGGACGCGCAGGCTCAGTGGCCATGGGTCACGGGCCCAGCCGCTCCGCGGCATGTGGGATCCTCCCGGACCAGGTCACGAACCCTTGTCCCCTGCATTGGCAGGCGGACTCTCAACCACTGCACCACCAGGGAAGCCCTTCTGCCCATATTCTAATTGGGTTGTTTGGTTTTTTAATATTGAGCTGCATGAGCTGTTTATATATTTTGGAGATGAATCCTTTGTCCATTGATTCATTTGCAAATATTTTCTCCCATTCTGAGGGTTGTCCTTTCATCTTGTTTATAGTTTCCTTCGCTGTGCAAAAGCTTTTAAGTTTCATTAGGTCCCACTTGTTTATTTTTGTTTTTATTTCCAATACTCTAGGAGGTGGGTCAAAAAAGATCTTGCTGTGATTTATGTCAAAGCATGTTCTTCATGTTTTCCTCTTAGAGTTTTATAGTACCTGGTCTTACACTTAGGTCTTTAATCCATTTTGAGTTTCTTTTTGTGTATGGTGTTAAGGAGGGTTCTAATTTCATTCTTTTACATGTAGCTGTCCAGTTTTCCCAGCACTCTTATTGAAGAGGCTGTATTTTCTCCATTGCATATCCTTGCCTCCTTTGTCATAGATTAGTTGACCATAGGTGTGTGGGTTTATCTCTGTACTTTCTATCCTGTTCCATTGATCTATATTTCTGTTTTTGTGCCAGTACCATATTGTCTTGTTTACTGTAGCTTTGTAGTATAGTCTGAAGTCAGGGAGCCTGATTTCCTTCATTTTTTTCCCTCAAGATTGCTTTAGCTATTTGGGGTCTTTTGTGTCTCCTTACAAATTTTAAGATTTTTTTGTTCTAGTTCTGTGAAAAATGCCATTGGTAATTTGATAGGGATTGCATTGAATCTGTAGATTGCTTTGGGTAGTATAGCCATTTTCACAATATTGATTCTTCTAATCCAAGAACATGGTATATCTCTCCATCTGTTTGTGTCATCTTTCATTTCTTTCATCAGTGTCTTATAGTTTTCTGGGTACAAGTCTTTTGTCTCCTTAGGTAGGTTTATTCCTAGGTATTTTATTCTTTTTGTTGCAATGGTGAATGGGATTGTTTCCTTAATTTCTCTTTCTGATCTTTCATTGTTAGTGTATAGGAATGCAAGAGATGTCTGTGCATTAATTTTGTATCCTGCAACTTTACCAAATTCATTGATTAGCTCTAGTAGTTTTCCAGTGGCATCTTTAGGATTATCTATGTACAGTAATCTGCAAACAGTGAAAGTTTTACTTCTTTTTTTCCAATTTGTATTCCTTTTATTTCTTTTTCTCTGATTGCTGTGGCTAGGACTTCCAAAACTATGTTGAATAATAGTGGTGAGAGTGGACATCCTTGTCTTGATCCTGATCTTAGAGGAAATGCTTTCAGTTTTTCACCATTGAGAATGATGTTTGCTGTGAGGTTTGTTGTATATGGCCTTTATTATGTTGAGGTAGGTTCCCTCTATGCTCACTTTCTGGAGGTTTTTATCATAAATGGGTGTTGAATTTTGGCAAAAGCTTTTTCTGCATCTATTGAAATGATCATATGGTTTTTATCCTTCAATTTGTTATTATCGTGTATCACATTGATTGATTTGCGTATATTGAAGAATCCTTGCATCCCTGGGTTAAATTCCACTTGATCATGGTGTATGATCCTTTTAATGTGTTGTTGGATTCTGCTTGCCAGTATTTTGTTGAGGATTTTTGCATCTATGTTCATCAGGGATATTGTCCTGTAGTTTTCCTTCTTTGTGACATCTTTGTCTGGTTTTGGTATCAGGGTAATGGTGGCCTTGTAGAATGAGTTTGGGTGTGTTCCTTCCTCTGATATTTTTTGGAAGAGTTTGAGAAGGATGGGTGTTAGCTTTTCTCTAAATGTTTGATAAAATTCACCTGTGAAGCCATCTGGTCCTGAACTTTTGTTTGTTGGAAGATTTTTTTAATATATATATATATTTTTTTGTGGTACGTGGGCCTCTCACTGCTGCGGCCCCTCCCGCTGTGGAGCACAGGCTCCGGACGCGCAGGCCCAGTGGCCACGGCACACGGGCCCAGCTGCTCCCGGCACGTGGGATCCTCCCAGACCGGGACATGAACCCGCGTCCCCCGCATTGCCAGGCAGACTCCCAACCACTGCGCCACCAGGGAAGCCCCTGTTGGAAGATTTTTAATCACAGTTTCAATCTCATTACTTGTGATTCGTCTGTTCATGTGTTCTATTTCTTCCTAGTTCAGTCTTGGAAAGTTATACCTTTCTAAGAATTTGTCCATTTCTTCCAGGTTGTCCATTTTATTGGCATAGAGTTGCTTGTAGTAGTCTCTTACGATGCTTTGTATTTCTGCAGTGTCCGTTATAACTTCTCCTTTTTCAGTTCTAATTTTATTGATTTGAGTCCTCTCCCTCTTTTTCTTGATGAGTCTGGCTAAAGGTTTATCAATTTTGCTTATCTTCTCAAAGAACCAGCTTTTAGTTTTATTGGTCTTTGCTGTTGTTTTCTTTGTTTCTATTTCATTTATTTCTGCTCTGATCTTTATGATTTCTTTCCTTCTACCTACTTGGCATTTTGTTTGTTTTTCTTTCTCTAGTTCCTTTAGGTGTAAGGTTAGAATGTTTATTTGAGATTTTTCTTGTTTCTTGAGGTGGGATTGTATTGATACAAACTTCCCTCTTAGAACTGCTTTTGCTACATCCCATAGGTTTTGAGTCATCATGTTTTCATTGTCATTTTTCTCTAGGTATTTTTTGATTTCTTCAGTGATCTCTTGGTTATTTAGTAATATATTGTTTAACCTCCATGTGTTTGTGTTTTTTACGTTTTCTTCCCTGTAATTGATTTCTGATCTCATAGCATTGTGATCGGAAAAGATGCTTGATATGATTTCAGTTTTCTTAAATTTACCATTTATGACCCTAGATATGATCTATCCTGGAGAATGTTCCATGTGCACTTGAGAAGAAAGTGTAATCTGCTGTTTTCGGATGGAATGTCCTATAAATATCAATTAAATCTATCTAGTCTATTGTGTCATTTAAAGCTTCTGTTTCCTTATTAATTTTCTGTCTGGATGATCTGTCCATTGGTGTAAGTGAGGTGTTAAAGTTCCCCACTATTATTGTGTTACTGTCGATTTACTCTTTTATAGCTGTTAGCATTTGCCTTATGTATTGAGGTGTTCCTGTGTTGGGTGCATATATATTTATAATTGTTATATCTTCTTCTTGGATTGATCCCTTGAACATTATGTAGTGTCCTTCCTTGTCTCTTATAACATTCTTTATTTTAAAGTCTATTTTGTCTGATATGAGTATTGCTACTCCAGCTTTCTTTTGATTTCCATTTGCATGCAATATCTTTTTCCATCCCCTCACTTTCAGTCTGTTTGTGTCCCTAGGTCTGAAGTGGGTCTCTTGTAGACAGCATGTATATGGGTCTTGTTTTTATTCCCATTCAGCGAGCCTGTGTCTTTTGGTTGGAGCATTTAATCCATTCACATTTAAGGTAATTATTGATATGTATGTTCCTATTACTATTTTCTTAAAAAAATTACTTTTATTTTTATTTTATTTATTTTTGGCTGTGTTGGATCTTTGTTGCTGCACATGGGCTTTCTCTAATTGCACCGAGTGGGGGCCACTCTTTGTTGCTGTGCCCGGGCTTCTCACTGCAGTGGCCTCTCTTGCTGCAGAGCACGGGCTCTAGATGCATGGGCTTCAGTAGTTGTGGCGCGCAGGCTCAGTAGTTGCTCCGCAGCATGTGGGATCTTCCGGACCAGGGATCAAACCCGTGTCCCCTGTGTTGGCAGGCAGATTCCTATCCACTGGGCCACCAGGAAAGCCCCCTATTACCATTTTCTTAATTGTTTTGGGTTTGTTTTTGTAGGTCCTTTTCTTCTCTTGTGTTTCCTGCCTAAAGAATTTCCTTTACCATTTGTTGTAGAGTTGTTTTAGTGGTGCTGAATTCTCTTAGCTTTTGCTTGTCTGTAAAGCTTTTGATTTCTCTGTCAAATCTGAATGAGATCCTTCCCAGGTAGAGTAATCTTGGTTGTAGGTTCTTCCCTTTCATCACTTTAAATATATCATGCTACTCCCTTCTAGCTTGTAGAGTTTCTGCTGAGAAATAAGCTGTTAACATTATAGGAGTTCCCTTGTATGTTATTTGTCATTTTTCCCTTGTGGCTTTTAGTAATTTTTCTTTGTCTTTAATTTTTGTCAGTTTGATTACTATGTGTCTCAGCATGTTTCTCCTTGGGCTTATTCTGCCTGGGACTCTCTGCGCTTCCTGGACTTGGGTGGCTAATTCCTTTCCCACATTAGGGAAGTTTTCGACTATAATCTCTTCAAATATTTTCTCAGGTCCTTTCTCTCTTCTCCTTCTGGCACCCCTATAATGTGAATGTTGTTGCATTTAATGTTGTCCCAGAGGTCTCTTAGGCTGTCTTCATTTCTTTTCATTCTTTTTTCATTATTCTGTTCCATGGCAGTGAATTCCAACATTCTGTCTTCCAGGTCACTTATCTGTTCTTCCGCCTCAGTTATTCTGCTATTGATTCCTTCTAGTGTATTTTTTTATTTCAGTTATTGTATTGTTCATCTCTGTTTGTTTGTTCTTTAATTCTTCTAGGTCTTTTTTAAACATTTCTTGCATCTTCTCAATCTTTGCCTCCATTCTTTTTCCAAGGTCCTGTATCATCTTCACTATCATTATTCTGAATTCTTTTTCTGGAAGGTTGCCTATCTCCACTTCATTTAATTGTTTTTCTGGGGTTTCATCTTGTTCCTTCATCTGGTACATAGCCCTCTGCCTTTTCATTTTGTCTGTCTTTCTGTGAACATGGTTTTCGTTCCACAGGCTGTAGAATTGTAGTTCTTGCTTCTGCTGTCTGCCCTCCGATGGATGAGGCTATCAGGACCAACTTTTCTATCATGTGGCTCCAAACCACATGTTTGGACTCATCCTTTTACCTGGACTCTGCTGAGGGTCAGTTCTCTGAGTTTCTTCTGTCTGACATGAAGAGGACCGTTAGTGCCTCCTTTCCCTCGTGGAGTATGTCACAGCTGGATGCCTACTTTCTTGCAGTTTAATTTCCACAGACTCCTAAATCTTAAAGAGCAGAACATCTCAAATCAATGTTTTGTTTTGTTTTTCCAGAGAGCCTATAAAATGTACTTTACTGTTATTTATACCTCTTGGCTTTAGAGATTCTTTAGCCATTGAAGTAACACTGTCACAGAGTCAGCGTCCACGACGAAGGCATGAAGGCTCTTTGTTTCATTTTGCTTTCTAAAGTCACCTTTTTATACTTCAAGATTATATTATTTCATGCTCTTTGTGAACATTTTTATGACTAAAAAAATATGTAAAACTCAAACCTCAGTGAAATACTAATTCATCCAGTTCAGCACTTTCAGAAGTATTTCTCATAATTAGTGAACCATCATGGCCTTGGAGCTTGAAAAGAAGAAAGGAAATTCGGGAACCTGGAATCTGATTATAGCTTCAGGCAATGTGTCAGGTTGTCCTGGGCACTTCAAGTAGTTTTTCTGAATCTAATTTCTTCTTTCTCTACAAGGGACTTTCACATTAGACAGAGATACCGAGTGTTGATGAAGGGAAGGAAAATATAAAGAACCCTGAACTTTGAGGCATTATGTATAAGTCACATTGGTTACATTCTGGAAAGAATGTTATGTATGTATCGAGGCTGGCATAAGGTGACTTTCAGGGAGAATAAAGACGGAAAGTAGTAGTAGTTGTAGTAGTTCTTATTTTTCACATGGTCTTAGAGTAGGTTTCTTTTAACACACAGCACCGCTGCTTGGTTTGCAGCATAGAAGTTTGATTGATAGCCAGACATATATTACTTTATGGAGCAAATGCTTCTTTTAGTGAAAGAGAAATTGAAGTTTGGTAAGACCCCTGAATTTTAATACAACTTAGTAAGGTAACATGAGCCATCCTGTTAGCATTTAATTTCTGCCTCTGGATGGAAGCTGTGTAAGTGGCCGGGCCCTGTGTTTATCCCCACTTTTGTTCAGGAAGACACCACTGAAAATAGTTTTGAAGGGCTACATATTTTTTTCCTATGGTCTATACAATTTGTTTTGTTAAAACTTCTTTTTACAAATAATGTTTTTACTTAATAGCAAAATTAAATGAAAATTTGGGCGAAGTTTTTCTTTTAAAACCCTAGAATTTCCCCCTCTATTTTGCACTTTTGCAGTCTAGAGGAGCACTTTAAAAACAGCTTGGCAAAGGGAGCTATCACTCTGAATTTCTATAGTAATTTAAGTGCTCTAGCTGTGACCCAGTTTCTCATAGACAGATTATTCTCAGTACAAGATGCCACCGAGGGTAATTACACTAGTTATAGATAAGGTTACAACTCCTTCTGGCAAATTTCCCATCCCATTATTGGAGGAATTGTTTCATATTGTGGTATATCATTCCCTCATTACATCAAAAGTGTCAAAGTCTAAGGTGACTTAGAATGTGAATGTGTCTGAACTCTGTAGAAGATAATTTTAAGAACTTGCCTCATATCTGTTAAATTATCTATTAATATCCAATTTAATGGATAAGTATTACAATGAGCATAATTTTAAAATGTATTATGCATAACAAGGTGATTTTGAGATGCAGTTAACCTTATGGTAATTGGGCCTTATTGATCAGGGCCTAAAACCTTCTCTGCCACAGAGGATTCAGTACCACATGCTTGTCTGCTCAGTGGGCAGTGGTTTTACTCTCTCATCAGGAAAGCACAGGGCTAAAGGTAAAAGAAATTAAGCGGAACTAATTTGTTTTTATTTAGTTGTTTAACCAGTCAGCGGTTGGTTTACCTTGCTTTCACTCTCCCCTTTTCGTTGGCAATGCATGAGTACACACAAAAGGAGCCAGGGGCTTAAAGGAGGGGAGAGCTGTGATACTTTGCTTTGATACTTTTTGCTTAGAGTTATCGCTTTGGAGTGTTTATTTGCCTGGCACTGTGCTGGGTGCCATAGGGTGTCCCGAGACTTAAGGTAGCACTGTTGCCTTTGGCAGTGCATGGCTAACTGGAGAACAGTGACACAGGCAAGATGACCTGTGAACAGTTCAGGCCTTAGACTGGTCTGGCTGGAAGGAGACGGGGAGCCCAGCCAAGGTGGGGCGAGGGGGCAGCAGCAGGGTTTCCCTGAGAAAGTGGGCCTCGAGGGCCATTAACAGTTACACAGTCAGGGGAGCGGAGGCAGTTCCAAGGGTGCAGCAGGAGCAAAGGCACCAGAGCGGGTACAGGCCGGGCTATAGCGAGAGCCCTGTAATTGCAGCAGACGATTATCACTTGGATTAAATGAGACCAGGCAGGAGGGCCTGAGATCCAGGCCTGGTGCCTTTGTCAGGGCCCGAGTCAGCCCAGGGTCAGTTTATAAAATGGAAGTAATGAAAGCAGTGGGCTTGTAAGAATGAGACCCAGCGTGTGAGAAGCACTGACAGAGTGCCTGTATGTGGCAGCTGCTCAGTTAATGGCCCGTTTGTGTACCTGGGGGATCCGGAATTGGTGCCGTTTGTTCCAGAGAACAGCACTGTCTTAATGAGGTTTTGAGTCTGATCTCTGACGGGTTTGCAGGATAGGCTGGAGGGGTCAGAGTTGGAGGCACAGGCTGCTCTCAGATAGGGAGCTCTTTCTATTGCCCAGCTCAGACCTGATGAGGGACAGACTGGAGAGAGACAAAACCTGTCACTAGCATTTAGAGACTGATTCTTCTGCCTGGGGACAATGAGTAGGAATGTTTCCAAGTTGAAGTCAAGATTTCCTACCTTTCCACACTTAGTGTCTTTCTTCTTTTCTGCTTATTTCATTCCCAAAGACTGGCGACCCTCTCTGTGTCTTACCTTGCTGACTAGGAATTTAATTACCAGCCACGCAGTCATTACACCAGATTCCACCGCAGTGAAAGCCCGTGGCATGTTCCATGGGCAGTATTGTGATGCACACGTGTCTGCAGCACTTGGTTATCTTTAAAAGCTCTTCTTACCCCCATACCACGAAAGTTCACGGACCCTTTGGCCAGGGGCACCTGCCACAGCCTTGCCTGGAGCCGAGAAGGCAGCGGGAAGGAAAGGCCTTCTCATCCCAGGGGCCGAGCAGGGGAGGAAGTACAGGCCCTTTTTATGTGCTCACAGCATGAGAGTCCAGCGTCCCTCACAGCGCCCAGAAAGAGGCTGTCTGGAAGGTGTGACGCTCCAAGCCACCAGGGACCCTGCCTTTGACAGACTTGAGAAGTGAGTAGAATGGACACGATGTACCCGAGAATGAGACCTGTTCGTCAGGCCCCTGGAAGAGCCAGCAACAACTTCTCTGCTGTGTGTATGTAGGCGACATGGGGCAACTTAAGATTCACTCTGCTTTATTCCCTAAAACAGACCTCTCCCTTCTGTTAAAAAAGAAAGAAAGAAAGAAAGAAACTTGGAAGCTGGCTTATATTGCAAAAAGAACCCACCTAAAATACACTTTTATGAAGTGTTCTGCCATTCTTTTTTTCCAGATGCTCACTTAACATGACAGCCGGGGTGTAGTAAACCACAAAAGGCTACTTTAAAGGAGAGGGGTTTGGCTTAAATCCACTGAAGCAGAGCTAAAGTTGATCTAGCCATCCATCCTTAACTTAGTTTAATTATGCCTGGATGTTCCAGTTCTCTGGGCAAATTTTTGAAATACCTGAGTAGAGCAAGGTGGAGTTAAATACTGGTTTTAAATGGCTGGTTTGTTTCCTGCCTTGCAAAGAAAGTCGAAGTGGATGTCTCACAAGTTGCCACCCTCCTGCACACCAGAACACTGCCAAGCTTTAAAAGCAATTAAAAGGTTAGGATTGGTAGGATCCTTAAATTACAGAGATTAGCGACTCAATCTGTGGATGACAGATGATACTAAGAACTCTTTGGCAACCTATAGAAGCCTCCCAGAGGGCCGTGTACCCTTCTCCTCTTTCCCCAAAGGTACAGCTTTTTTGTCTGCTCCCACAGACCACGTGCAAGGCAGGATGTTGACAGGTAGATTTTCTGAAGTACTAGCCATTAAAGTCTCAAGTCTCTTTCTGGGCCACATGAAGAGAAACCAAAATTGTTATGAATTAGAGCTAGTGTTTGGTCCAGACAGCCTCTGGGGATTGAGCAGCATAAATATATACAATTTCAAAAGCAAGACGTTCTACACTCCATATGGGGAGCTAATGAAATGCAAATCTGATACTTCAAGTATTGTCCTCACTCTGATGTTCAACTCCTTTTCTCTTAAATGCAAAACAGAAGGACTCAGCAGAAAGACACCATAAAGTGGTTTCTTCAACTCCGTGTGAAAAGGACACAGAACTAATCTTTTTCTTTTTTAAATAAGTGGAGCTTTTCTCGTGGTAACTAGACATTTCCACAGCCAGCTGGTTTTCATCAGTGGCAGTTTCAACCTTACTTAGTGTCCCACTTCTTTGGCCTTGCATGGCTACACCATGGTGTTTGCCCTTACTTGACTCAAGAGCCTTTAGTGTCCTGGAATCTAGGGCTACCCAGGGCCCATGTGGTAGAGACCCTGATGCCGGGATACAGTTTTTCCCATCATATGTTTTACCCATGCCAACTTGGCTAAATTGTTCCATTTAAGTTTGGGAGTTTTCCATTATGATGTTCTAGTGAACATATTCATGGGAAATGACTGACTCCAGAATGACTAAATCAATCTAGAGACGTCTGCCCAGATCCAGAGTCACTGTCCACAGCCCAGGAGTTATTATGGTGCTACAACTTGGACTAGGGAAGAGAATGGGTCTTATTCTAGAACATGGACAATTTGGCACGTTGCCTAGGTGCTCTATTTGGGTTTGAAAGCATGAAATAGAAGAGAATGATATGTGTACAATAGGATTCCCAAATCTGTTCCTTCCCTGGCCTACTTATTAGTACATGAAACAACATTCAGTTTCAATGGCAGGATGGATGGTTTTAACAAGATCATGTCAAAATCTGGAGAAATAGGACAAGCCAGAGGTGTCCAGAGTGGTTTCTTTCCTCCTTCGTGGGCTTTACGGCCACCCCTGCACTCATCCAACCCTCTCGTGTACCTGGGAGAGCACAGCTGACCGTGTATGCTTCATGTCCCCTTGTGTGGAGTGTTTCAGCTTATCATTAGATTCTCTCAAACATTATAACCACCTTTAAAATAAGCACCATGTCTTCTAATTATTTTTTAATTCTCCCAGGTCTAATGGGTGCTCTATACAGAGAGGAAACTCTGATGAAATAATGGGTATGAGAGCACTTTGGGAAGTTTCATGATAACCCTACTAAGCGCTGTTTATTTATCAAATAGCTGCCCTTAAATATTAATGTTACATAAGTACTGCTGCTTTCTTTTTTTCTGGGTGGAAAAGTCTGCCTTGCAGAGTATACGTATAGTTTATCGAGCCCTTTCTATGGCCAGACACTATGCTAAACATGTCTCATGCATTATTTCACTTTATACACAGACAAAAATCCTTTTTTTTTTACATAGGTTATCATTATCTGTATTTTATAGATGAAGAAACTGAGGCTGAAGAAAAAAATTTTTCCAATTTTTCTGACACTGACCAAGAAGTGTCAGAGCCAGGCACAGCCTGTCTGATGCCAAAGTCCCTTCCTTCAAATGTTACACATGAAGGCTATATGCCTTGCTCTGTATCTGTGTGTTCATGTCTTTATTCCCAGTCCTAAATGTCATTCTTCTCGAAGATCATAAACTAGAAGAACTGATCGAATAATTGCACTATAACACGTTAGTGGTAGCTTATAAGGAAGTAAGATTTTTTAAATAAGTCTAGGTCTGATGCTTACAAGTAGAACAAAAGAATGACCCTATTGTTACAGCTTAATCTGATTAAGATTTTTTTCCCTGGTTAAGACTTTTGGTTGTATGTAATAAAAACATATTTTTACAAGTATGTTTTAATTTCAACTCTTTTCACAGTCAGTACTTTGTTGTCCTGCCAGAATCAAGACATAAATCCTTAACATAAATTAGTAAATCATATGAATTAATGGTAGACAGAAAAACAGAAAATAGGTCTGGGTTTTTGCTTAAATCCTTCCCTATGAGATATTAACTAGATAAGCATTATTTGTAAAAAGAATTTGGGATTAGCAATCAAAAGTCTTGGGTTTGTGTTAGATACTGCCCCTCTGGATATGTTTGACCTTGGGCAAATCACTTAGCCATTCTGAGCCTCATTTTCTCCCTCAATTAAAAAAAAAATCATCACAGTTAATTTGAATGCCAAATGAAATAATACATATGAAAACTCCTCAGCTATACATTTTATATATCAACTATTCAGTTTTTTAACAATAACATAGATCCTGCTAACCTTCTCAAAATCCATTTTTAATATGAGAGAGAACTTTAAACACTCCTGGCACATAAGTTAAAAAGTTAGTTTTCCCCTTTCACCTTCAATTTGTGGATACTATATATTAAAGAAAACAGGTATGTGGCGGGGGGAGTGTTTTCCCTATTTCTCATCCTCCAATCCCTTGTTTAAGGAAACTAAATGGTAGAACATAACAGCTTTGTTCTCTGTGTCAGCAGAGCATTAGAAAGCCCTGGAAGAATGTTAAAGCCGTTTCAAAAGACTATTTTTAGGGGCAACGTTGTCAGGAAATAAGCTTTCACTGAGAGATTTGGAGAAAAACTGGCACTTGAAGGTCAACAGCTGGGACAGCAAAATGCGTTACCTTGTATTAAATGTTTACGGCTCAAGCCGATATCGTTAACAACGAGTAAAATATTCTTTCTCCAGGTTGAAACTATCCAACGATGAAATCAAACGGGCAATTCTAACCATGGATGAGCAGGAAGATCTGCCCAAGGACATGTTGGAACAGGTGAGCTGCCGGGCAACGCTCAGAGCACGGGTGACACCGGACTCTCAGCAGGGAGGGCGTACTGAGGAAAGGAATCTGGTTGTTGCTGGTAGATGATTTCCTCATCTCTGAATTGAGGAGGTTGAACCAAGGTTCCACACAGCTGTCAGAAGCCTCTAGGACTTGATTCTTCCCTTGTTTCCAAAATGATGGGTGAGAAGGACGGTCCAGACTTCGTCAAATGCCTGGGACCGTCGATGCTGGAATCTGTCTCTCATGCTGCCTGCCATCAAGTTGTTACTCCTTAGCAGGTCATAGAAATCTACTAGCTTTAGTAGAAAATGTCTGTTTCACTGGAATGTTGAGGTCACAGGCTGCACTGCATAAACTGAGTCATTGCTTAATCCCTGACACAATTTGTGTCTTGGTCTTGGCTCCCTGTTCCCACAACCACAGAAGCCACTGTTAACCCCCTAGCACTGTCATCTTCATCAAAACACTCGTATGTGTCATAAGGTGGGGTGTAAACTTCTTGGGGCTGGGCCTTGTCTCCGTAAGTTGTATAGCACCCTTCTTGCATTGTAAATGGCAGGAAGTTCAAATGCTGGGGATAGTAAGTATGGCGTACATTTATACACAATCAGTATACATTCTTGTCCGTGGTATTTGAAGATAATTTGTATTTTTTATGTCCAGGCAACAAGTTGGATGTGGTGCCCTAGCCTCTCGTCATGCAGTGTTTCCATAACATGCTCCGTGCAGCCACTCCAGCTGTGTTGTGTATTGTCAGCAGCTTGGTTCAGTTATTTCCCAAATGATACTGTTGATGATGTACTAGCAGATGCCCCAGGGATTGTTACCTATCTCTCAGTCTGGCCCTAACTTTTTCTGTGCATTGTGGGGACAGTCTCTGAATGCTCTAAGCCTGTTCTGTCTCCTTGTCCCTGCAACAGAATCTTATTTTGAGAGATTTTGGTCAAGAGGCCTCCATTTGTTAGAGCCAGGACCACTTAAGGTCAACAGTGGACACAGGTGATCATGATTTCAGGCTGAACTTGAGGTATCACCTGTAGGCAGGCTCAGCTCCCAGGAGAAGAGGAAATGGATAGTTTGCTCCGCTAACAGGGACCCCAGTGGAGTGCCTGTATGCGTGTGCATTTTCCACGGTTCTCACTGATTTCCCAGAAGGCCTCAGATACCAGGCAGGGAGGAGTGATGTGTGTGGTATCACCACACCTCCATGGACCCGCCCCTCCCTGAAACCTCTGCAGCTGCAGTCATCCTGGGTGAAAACTGTCACACTTAGCAGTGGAGAAACTTTTCTTGCTGTCCTTTTAAGTTTTGATTTAGCTCCCAAAATAGCTAATGACTATGTTTCCAAGTCTGTTCGGATGCTCTGTGTATAAATAGTTTAAACGTATTCCTTTTTTCGAGCATTTTTAGCTCCTCTGCCCACTCTTCCCTCCCTCGCGGAATACGAGTCAAAACAGAGCCTCTGCCCCAAGAGAGTGGAGCCCAGCTGCCCTCTGTCCCTCCCTGGCCCCCAGGTGACCCTGCGCTCCAAATGCCTGCATCAAAAACTGCTTCACCCAGAGTGAAGAACTAAGCAGAAAGCTGCTTTAGTCCTTAGGTCTTCAGCCTCTATCGATAAGGTCGTATGCTTAAAATTCCACGAGATCTGTTCACTGTGAAATTGCAACCAGCAAAATTCCTCCTTGAGGGAAAGGATTTCAGAATCTTGCCAAAAGGGCTTGTAGTGCAAATAGAACGTACTTCAAATAAATACAAGTAAGAAAATCAGTCTACTGAAGCAGAATCTGGCCAAGTGGATACTTTTGACCTGGCCTCTGCTGATAGTTGTGGGTGTCTTGCTCTCTGCTCATCTCCCAGGCTCTTTCTTTTCCTCCTTATTCTACCCCCCTTCCTCTGCTTCCTTTGCCTTCACACAGCATCCTTTACTACTCGGTATGATCTGCATTTGAGCCACATTCCACCCCTCCTCTCCTGCTGCTTTTAGCCACTGAGATCAGATCTCAGATGAGATCCATACACTCCCCTTTCTTGGGATGCACACCTTTCTCCTTATCTCCAGGTGTTTGTCTGGCTCTTCATTCCTCTCAAAACTGTCCAAACACAGTCTGTTCTTGACTCTGACTTGAGACGGCCTGAGCCTTTAGCCTGTGCCTCTCACTGTGCTCTTGTGAGTAACAAGAGACAGATGGTGTCTGTGTTATCCTGAACAGGGGCCTGTAGGCTCAGCAGGGCAGGTATGGGGGGACCCCTGAAACTAGAACTGAATTTCCTTGTCCAGAAGGAAAAAATCCAAACTCAGGGGAAAAAATAAGCCTTGTCCTCTCTCTCCTTCCTTCCTTCCCTTGCCCTACTACCTTCCCTCCAGCACTGAGGAAGAACAAGAAGACACTTGTCCAGTGTTACCATTTGAACATGGGAACATCCATGCCTAGAAGCTCTCAGGCCACCAGACCTGTGAATTCCCTGGCATCTACTTCCGTCTTTCCGCCTTCCACCCCATTAGGAGAGAGGGGTGTCCCTGGCTTCTACTCTGGCCCATCCTTTCCTTCTGCTCAGGGACCTCACCCAGGGGGCCCTGCCCCTCTCCTCAAGGTCTTCTACCTTGCCCTCTCAACATGTAACTTGTTCAGGTCCCAGCCCTTCCCACACACACCTCTTAAGACTGCACATCCCCTTCTGCTACTTTCTTCTTTTTTTTTTTTTTTTTTTTTTTTTTTTTGGTGGTACGCGGGCCTCTCACTGTTGTGGCCTCTCCCGTTGCAGAGCACAGGCTCCGGACGCACAGGCTCAGCGGCCATGGCTCACGGGCCTAGCCGCTCCGCGGCATGTGGGATCTTCCCGGACCAGGGTACGAACCCGTGTCCCCTGCATCAGCAGGCGGACTCTCAACCACTGCATCACCAGGGAAGCCCCTCCTCTCTTTTTTGACACAGCCAGTTCTTGAAAGCTTGTTCACTCTTCCTCACCTCACTGCAGTCCGTCCCCCTCACCTCCCTTAAGCTGTTCTCACTAAGGATACGAACTTTCTTGTTGACAAAGCCAGGGAGTACTTTGCAGTCCTTATCTTCCTTGACGTATTGGTGGTGTGTGACACCGATGGCCACTTGCCCCATGGTGAAACACCTCTTCCCTTGGCCCTGTGATTCCACATAGGCCCCTCCACTGCCTTCTACGAAGGTTCCTCTTCTTGTTCTCATCGCATCAATGCCGGCTTCTCTCCAGCCCTGCTTTTTTCTCTTGATGGGCCCCCTGGTTACCTTACGCACATCCATGCATGTTGTAACCCAGACCAAAGCTTTGTCTTCCAGATTTCTTTGGGATTTCAGACCCATTTGTCCACCTGCCTACTAGAAATCACAACTTGGTTCTCTTGCCAGTATTTCAAACACTAAATCCACCTTCTCCTCACCCACCTTCCTCCAACCTTCTCCTCCTGGGTTCCCTGTTACACTCTGTGTACATCATTGCCCAAGCCAGAAGCCTGGACCTCATCCTTTTGACCCTCATCTACCACAGTCAACAAGTCAGGCCAGTTCAAACCCCATAAATATCTCTAGAACCTGTCCACTACCCATTCCAGGCCACCACCGTCTCTCACCTGGATTACTGCATCAACAATCTAATCACAGTCCCCAATACTTTTGATCCTTTCTAGTTCTTTCTCCATTCTGCAGGCAGAGTGTTCTTTTTAAAGTGCAAACTCATTCCCCTACTTGAGATTTTAAGTTACATCCCATGCCCTCAAAATAAAGACTGAATTTTTTGCAAGGCCCTTGCTCCTCCCTGACCTTGCCCACTGCTGCCCTCCCCCACTGCTGTGGTGGCCGCTCTTCCTCCTCTGTAAGTGCTGCACTGCCCCTTCCAGAACCCAGCATGATAAGCACTCTGCCTGGAATATATCTCCAACCTCAAACCGTTCATCTCCTTCCCTGTAGTTCCAATTCTCTTTCTCTGCTGGTGGTACCCAGACTGACTGCCTTTTCTGAGCTCCCTTAATTAAATCCAACGAACCTGCTAAATGGACCACCCAATGCCAGCATCAAGTTTATGGGGAGGATCTCAGGGTCCAGAAGCTCAGTGTAATTTTTTTTTTTAAAAAGTCCAAGAATATTTGATCTAGAAAATAGCACACAAACACAGCCCTGGGCATACACATACACGTTTGTGCCTTTAAAGAAAATTAGACACATACAGAAGTGCTTTTCCTACTTTAAGTATTATTGCTATCTCTTCCACATTCCATGCTCATTTCTTCATCCAAAATAAAATATGGAATCAAAAACTTCACATCCCATTGTGTTCCTCTCACCTAACTCTACATGGAGCAAAAAATGAGATGGAATTAGATAAGCCAAAGAAATAAGCAGATTGATTAGAAAATACACATAAAATTACTCATTTCAGCATGATGTAATAGGGAAAAAACATAGAGCTGGAAGTCGAGACCCAGGTTCTATTTCTGAAGATCACACACACTTGCTTTATAATCCTGGGTGAGTGACCTAATCTCTCTGGACCTCAGTTGTAGCATCTTCTCATGAGAAGGTTGAATCTCCAAAGCCCCTTTCTAATGGACTATGTAAAGTGGGTCCTAGTAAAGAACTTCCCAATTCTGATTTGAGGGGCACTATAGAACACGTAGATATCAGAAATGAATCTTACACCGGTTTAACTACTTTCAAGTAAAAGTAGAAAGGTTTTTTTCCCATTTTATTGAAATATAATTGACATACATCACTGTAAATTTAAGGTGTGTGGCAGAATGGTTTGACTTACAAATGTGAAATGATTTCCACAATAGGTTTAGTTAGCATCCATCATCTCATATAGATAAAAGTGTTTTAAAGGCAAAAAACCAAAACAACCTTTTTTTCCCTTTCTGATGAGAACTCTTAGGATTTACTGTCTTAATAACTTTCATTATATATCAAGCAGCAGTGTTAATTATAACCATGATGTTGTACACTACATCCCCGTTACCGATTTATCTTGTAACTGGAAGTTTGTACCTTTTGGCCACCTAAATGGAAAGATTTAATCACTTCATTGTATCTGAACAGTCACCTGTGAGGAGAGCTTATAAATTAAATGTTAAAATTTCATCTTGGGACAAATTTAACTGAACGCGTGAAAAATTAGGGCAAGAATTTAAATTATAAACCTCAGTTTCAATATTTGCATGTACTTTTTAGCTCTTGAAATTTGTTCCTGAAAAAAGTGACATTGATCTGTTGGAAGAACATAAACATGAACTGGATCGGATGGCCAAGGCTGATAGATTCCTTTTCGAGATGAGCAGGTGAGTTTGAAAATGTTTAAAAAGCAAAGATGGGGCTTCCCTGGTGGCGCAGTGGTTGAGGGTCCGCCTGCCGATGCAGGGGACACGGGTTCGTGCCCCGGTCCGGGAAGATCCCACATGCCGCGGAGCGGCTGCTCCCGTGAGCCATGGCCGCTGAGCCTGCGCGTCCGGAGCCTGTGCTCCGCAACGGGAGAGACCGCAACAGAGAGAGGCCCGCGGAAAAAAAAAAAAAAAAAAAAAAAAAAAAAGCAAAGATGCCGCTGGCCTTTCTAAGGAAGTGAATCTTTTGATTCCTGTTGAATTATCTGGGCCAGTTAACCTGCCTTAACTTGAAGCCTTTTTAAATCCCCAAATCTCCTCAAGTCTGAGTTGTGTGGAACTTGATTGTTTTGTTTATGTGAGTTCTCGCCCATGGGTGAGCCAGGGTCAGAGTTTCTCACAGTTATCTCTATTTCTGGGCCTCTTTGGCTCATGTACTTTAACCTAATCAAGTCATAACTTTTCTGGGTTCTAGTCAGTGTCATTCTCCTCAGCACTTTGATCCCTTGGGATTCTAGCCCACTCCTCCTTATACCTCAACATCTCAAGGTGGTTGTAAAATAGAAACAATGGGCAGACTCAGAGGTATCAACGTAGAGCCCACATAACTAAATAGCCGGGGTCTGGATGTCAAATCATGACACACGCAGACATCACTAATCGATCGTGGCACTCTTCCCACGGGACCTTGGCAAGCTTTCTCAACCCTTCTCCAGAAAGCCCCGCAGCAGCTGCTGCTCCGTAATTGAGTTTGGCATGTGAGCCGAGTTGCTTTGCCATCCCAGGCCTAGCGAATTGATTCTGCATTGGACAAGGACCAGTGATCCTGAAACTCTCAGTCAACCCCAGGGCAGAGCTCCTCCCCTGAGTGCCAGTGGCCTACATGGTGGCCAAGGTGAACATGCCACTCTGCATTTCTGCTATATCTGGACTTATTTTTGTTGTTTCACCTCAACTTGCCATTTTGCATACTACTGTAGAACAAAGGATGGTTTTGAAATTTTGACACGTATGCCCAGCAACCCTTCGTGTAGACAAACACATGGCCACCTGCAATAACTGCGCCTTAATAACTGTCTAGATGTTTGCATGTGTCTTAATCCTGCTATCAGCCCTGCCAGGAGGGCTGTCAGGCAGGGAGGTATTCTCTGCTGGCAACTGGAGGAGTTAAGATTCCTGCCCAAGGTCACCTAATAAGAGCAGAACCTGGCCTGCATCTGTCTGATTATATGGTATAGTTTTGGATGAGGGCCGATCACTAGTCCTACTGGACTGAAGTTTCCTCCGGAGAGCAGGTTAGGCAGTGAGTTCAGAAGGCCTGGGCAGGTATGCCCACCCTCACCCGCTCAGAAACACCAAGCAGCCTGTATTGGTGGTGATCACAGGCCAGTGGCCTGTTATCTCTAGTCGCTAGTCGCTATCCTGGAAGGCAGAGCTTTCCAGCCCTGAGGGGTGCAGCTAGGGACCTAACTGTGAAGAAAGAGGAAGGTTTGGGGACGTGAGTGGGGAGAGGATGGTGTGAGGAGAGAATGCCGGAGACAAGTTTTACCCTACAGTTCTGCAAGGCACACTTTGTGGCAAGTGAAGCACCATGGCAGGAGTGCAGGCAACTGCCCTTCATTTGCAGCAGAAGCGGGGAGTCTTTACATTTTCATTCCTTTTTATCGCTTTTCTGTTCTCAAGAGCTACTAGGACTCTGAGGAAGTGAAAGGGGCTTTAGTCAACAGCAGTTAGCTCTCACTTTCTTTTAGCAATTGCATAAGCTGATTGGAGCTAAGGCCCTGCTGCACTTGCCCGAACACTCCCCATAGGGCACTGGGAAATGGGCTCTCCAGGTGCAGTTGGCCTCAGACCCTGTGCTCCTGTCCAGGAGAGGAACTCTGTGTGTGTGTGTGCGTGTTGGGGTGGGAGTGCTCTAAGGTACCATCACCTCCATATTCATTGAGTGAACATACATGTATTAAGTACGTGTTCATTAGTTGATGCTTGCTCTTACAGAATCAATCATTATCAGCAAAGACTGCAGTCGCTGTACTTCAAAAAGAAGTTTGCAGAGCGTGTGGCAGAAGTGAAGCCCAAAGTGGAAGGTAAAGTCAAGCTGCCCAGACTGGCAATGATGTTCATCTCAAGTACCCATTTACAAGTGCAATGCAAGTGCATATAGTAAACTGGATCCCTTTGGTGATTTTTTTTTTTTGCTTGAAATCTGTTGGAATTCTGGCAGATAATTACTTAAGGTCTGTCCTTGGCTTGATGGCCTAGCCTGGGTTCTGGAACTCACAGCACACTCCCTGGACTCCTCTGCAGAACTGGGCTTTTGCAATCTGGGTATTGGTGAGGAATTTATTTGATCGCTACTGGCATTAAACCTACAGTTAGCTTTCTTGTAACGGGGCCTTACTGGATTTTTCTGAGGGAAGATTTGAGGCTGATACATGGTTTGATTTTGAGGCTGTTAAATTTTTAGGTGCTTGAAATGTGGGCAACTGAAGAGCACAGCCACAGAGTGCAGGCTGACTTTGGGGTCCTGATGACACCTGCCAGCTGTGACATGTCACACGTTTGCCCAGTTTTTCTATCAGTGGAATTGATCAACTGTCCTGTGATCTGACTCACACCAGGCAAGAAAGGGTCTGCAAAGGAATGTGGAAAAGGCAGTAGCTGCTCTATGTATTCCTAACTGCTTATGGTCGGGGAGTCAGCCAAGAAAAAGACTGAGAAAGGCTAGGACTGTGCACCTGTCTCTGGGTCTCTTGAACAACTTGAGCTGGCTCTCCTTGCCCCCTTGCTCTTGGCTTCTGGTAAAGGTGTTCAGAAAGTGCTCCCTGGTAGTCTAACAGCCCCATCTTCCATCTCCAGTATCTGTTATCAGGTGTGTGGATTTAGGATGGGTATCATTGAAAAGTCTTGTTGTAATAGTTTTATGTATTTTTGTTTTGAAGCAATTCGTTCTGGTTCAGAAGAGGTGTTTAGGAGCAATGCCCTGAAGCAGTTGCTGGAAGTGGTTTTGGCATTTGGAAATTACATGAATAAAGGCCAAAGAGGCAATGCATATGGATTCAAGATATCCAGCCTAAATAAGATTGCTGACACAAAATCCAGTATCGATAAGTAAGTATGGAAGATCTGGGAGCTTAGGTCGGGGCTCAACTTTGTACGCTCTGGTCCTCCTGGGCCTCTTCATCCCAAAGTGTCTGGTCTGCACTTCTCCTCTCCTGCTCTTTCCTTCTCCACTGACTCCTCCCTTCCTGTCTCATGACCACACGTATCCCCAAGTTCCCACTGGGCCAGTTATCCTTCATTTTCATTCCACAAGGATATCATCTAGTCCAAGTTTTTTGTGTTTGGGGTTTTCTCGGGTAAACTGATTACAGTGTAATACACAAAAGACAGGTTCACTCACCGTAAAGGTACAGCTTGATGACTTTCCACAAATTGAACACATCTGTATAACTAGTGCCCAGTTCAAGAAACAGAACCTTACCAGCACCCTAGTAGCCCCCTCACGGCCTCTCCTAGTTGCTACTCCTCCACAGAGTTAAAAAACTGACAGCTGATGACAATGTGAAGTTTGTTGGCTTTGTAGGTTATGGTTTCCTTGGTACGTGGAAGCTAGCAGCTACCTTAAAAAATGACAATGTGTAAATGCATTTTGGCTGTTGGTATTCAGCTGCTCATCCCGAGACTCATTAAAATGCTTCCTAGAAAGTGTGTTTTAGGTGAACAGATTCCTGTTAGAGACACCAGAAGGTGAAAATGTGCTAGTGTCATTTCCAGGTAAGGGCATTAGGCATATTAACTGTAGCTTCCCTGAGAGCTGTGTTTCCCACTGACTTGGAAGGAATTTGTTTCTAAGGTAAACTTCTCTGTAACCCGAATTATTTTTAGAAGTATAGGCTGTTCACCCTAATTATTCCCAACCAGTGAGACTTTTTATTCTATATTTTCTATAGGGTCAGTGAAGCATAGCATTATGGCAACCCTGAATCCATCGTATAAGAAACAAGCAGTGTGTTCAGTTGTGGGGCTAAACCTTATTTTTGCATCGTGTAGAAATAGATTAACAACGCACAGCTGATACGTTCTATCAACACCACCTTATTTTTCCTTGAATTTTATTATTTTTTATACAGCAGGTTCCTATTAGTTATCTATTTTATACACATCAGTGTATATATGTCAATCCCAATCGCCCAATCCATCACACCCCCACCCCCACCCCCCCACTTTCCCCCCTTAGTGTCCATACGTTTGTTCTCTACATCTGTGTCTCACTTTCTGCCCTGCAAACCAGTTCACCTGTACCATTTTTCTAGATTCCACATATATGTGTTAATATATGATATTTGTTTTTCTCTTTCTTACTTCACCCTGTGTGACAGTCCCTAGGTCCATCTGCATCTCTACAAATGACCCAATTTCGTTCCTTTTTATGGCTGAGTAATATTCCATTGTATATATGTACCACATCTTCTTTATCCATTCATCTGTCGATGGGCATTTAGGTTGCTTCCATGACCTGGCTGTTGTAAATAGTGCTGCAGTGAACATTGGGGTGCATGTGTTTTTTTGAATTATGGTTTTCTCTGAACACCACCTTATTTTTAATGTAAGCACTTGATCCTTTCAGAGCCCGTTCACATTTGATTGTCACAACAACCTGTGAGGTCCCCAGGCCAAGTGTTGTATCGCCTGTTGTCAGATAAAGAAACCGAGGCAGGGTCAGGTGGCTCATTTAGCTTGTCTGAGGTCACAACCAGCAAGGTGTTTGGCCTTACAGGTATTTGACAGTTGTTCTGGTGGTCTGCCCACAGCTCTCCGCTACCAACAGACCGATTTTATTTGGAGGTTGCAGTAAGTAACTGCAGCACCTTACTTGCATATAAAGAGCAGCCATCTTTTAAGGAACGGTCTCCTCTTCAACTGGGCTTGCAGGTTGGGGAGGAAGGAAATCCTCACCACCAGTCAGTCCTATTCTCTCTGTCTCTCCCTCTCCCCTCATTCATACACACACACTCACACACACACATTTGCCCCCCACCTTCCAACTTACTGATAAGCTGGTACTTACTACATGATTATCTGCTAGTTAATGATATAAACTTTATCCAATACACAATAAGCCTTTTCAAAACAATAAATTAAAAACATTTCTGATCTTCTTCTTTTCCCTCTTCACTCTGCATTAAAGGCTTGTTTCTGGTAATGACCAGAGAGTAGTCAAATGTGAGGCTGTTTAGTTGTTTTTATTATTCAGGAATTTCTCTTCACTCATATGAGGTGTTATTTGGATAGCAGACAAATGTGGTTTGCTATCCAAATGTGATCTGGTTTTAAGTCTTTCTACACTAAAAAAGGCATATATGGTTAATTAAATAAATTTCTCTAACAAAGCATTTCTCTGAAATAATGAAGGAAAATGGCATTACTCTTTCTCGCGATGGTTGCTGGGATTTTGCCTCTCATGCAGCCGGCACATGGCAGACACATAGATTCTGTGAAAGGCAAAATTGAAGTGGAACAATACAGCTGAACACCTGCAAAATAAGTGGCCACAAGTATTAGCCACTGTTTTACTTTGCTGAGCAATGGTTTTCTAATTATTAGAGGAAGAAAAATAAGGGGAATTTTTTTTCCGTGTGGGACTCAGTTGACTCCTCTGAGTTGACTCAGAGGAATAGGATTGCCTTGACCTCCAGGAAGCTGCAAGGATAACCAGAAATGGTTTGCGTTGCTACGGGGAAAAACTGTTCGGCAGCTCTGCTTTACTTTTGTTGCGGGGGGGTGGGGGGTCCTTAACCTTGTGAATTAGCAAACTGCCTAAAAATTATGGAAATGTTTTTAAAGAAATGCATTTGTGTCCTCCTGATTATGCTAACTTTCAATAGCATAAGTGGTTCTTGATCTTGGCTGTTAGTCTCAGTGGGGAGTTTTAAAAAATACCCACATCTGGTCCCACCTCATTCCAATGACTGAGTCTCAGGTTGGCCCAGGCATCTGGGGTCCAGGTGATTGTAATGTGCATCAGAGTCAGGGACCAGGGGACCAGACTACCACAGCGTGGCCTCATAGATAGTGTTATCAGATGCCCGCCTTTTCAACCCAGGTCAGTCAGGGTTCAGCCCTGTCACCACCAAAGAGGGAGCTGGTTGTGCAGTTAGGAGCTGAAGTGTTGCTAAAATTAGGCCGCGAGGGTATCATATCCATGATGGCACAGTCCTGGCCCATTTCCAGGTCCTGCCCTGAAATAGGGGGCATTCTAACTTTCAGAAGGGAAAAATGTTATCACCCAGTTGAAAGAAACCCTTAAATGAGAATTGTCAATAATTTTCATCAGTGAGTTGCTGCTCTGTACTTTCAGACTTGAAAATTAGCTGTCCTCTCTAGTGGATTAAACATCCCTCACTCCCCACCCCACCCTGCTTGTTAGGAACTTGCAGGGCAGGCCTCGTCTTTGGGTGGATGCACTGTGAAGGGATGTCCCTTTTGGCAATGGTTCAGACTCATTTCCATCACCCATCGCATTACGCAGGTTGTGAAGGATCCCCATTATGGGCCAAAAACGTAATTCTTATCCCCTGCCCTTCCCTTTCAGAAGATGTGTGCTGCTTTTGGCATATATTTTTGTAAATCCCACGAAGGCTCTCCTCTACTCCCTTTCTCTTAAGAATGCCTGCCTTTCAGGAACCTACACATTTTGAAAGTAATGCAGGGACGTAGCATTCTTGTGGAAGTAATCACTTGAATATACAAATCATATGCAGATATTAACCATGTTTAATACTCTCTCCTTCTGTAATTGTAGGAACATTACACTTTTGCACTATCTCATAACTATTGTGGAAAATAAATACCCCAAGGTTCTCAATCTAAATGAGGAGCTGCGGGACATTCCTCAAGCAGCAAAAGTAAAGTAAGTACTTAGAGTGAATTGTTTCAGTTTTTAAAATCCGTTGGACTGTGGTTTAGCCGTTGAGATAGTTAGCGTTGCATGAAGAGGGTCCTTCTGTTTGCTTTCCCCTGAACAGTGTATGAAATAAAGTTTGAATAGTATCCATGTCACTCAGATGTTTTACATGAGTTTGAATATACGGTTGACTCTTGAACGGTGGGGTTAAGGGTGCCGGCACCCCCCGAATCCCCACTGCACAGCTGAAAATCCAACATATAACTTCATAGCTGACCCTTCCTGTGCGGGGTTCCTCAATACCCATGGTCCCACATCTGAGGATTCAGTCAACCACAGACCATGTAGCACATAATTATTGAAAAAAAATCTGCGTATAAGTGGACCCGTACAGTTCACACCTGTGTTGCTCAAGGGTCACTGTATACTTGTTCTAGCTGTTTCAGAATATTCCTGGATGCAGTTTCTAACTTCTACAAAACCTAATTTTCTGAGTTATGAAGAGTCTAGGGAAGCAGTGTGGTTTCACTAGTAGTTGGAAAGGGTGGTCTCTTAAAATACAGGTGGGAGCACACTTAGTTAAATGAGGATATGAGGATACATGTTTAAGCAAATGGAAGTCCTGCAGGTCAGGGTGTTGCTAGTAATTTTCCCATGTGTACACACTCCCAGAAACCAAGCAACCTTTTAATGGAAAGCAGTCTTTATGCAAATGAAGGAACTAAAAATAAAGTGGAAAATCACTAAACTTTCCCCACAAACTTCACACCACTTTTCAGAGACCTCATGAGGGGTAGGCACTTTTCCTTGCTGTTCTTCCTGCTTCCTTTTGCCCCCACCCCGCCTTTTTAAAAATTTTTTTTTTTTTTCGCTGCATTGGGTCTTGGTTGTCCCGCACGGGCTTTCTCTAGTTGTGGCGATGGGGGACTACCCTTCGTTGTGGTGCATGGGCTTCTCATTGCGGTGGCGGAGCACGGGCTCCAGGCGCGTGGGCTCAGTAGTTGTGGCTTGCGGGCTCTAGAGCACAGGCTCAGTAGTTGTGGCGCACGGGCTTAGTTGCTCCACGGCATGTGGGATCTTCCCCGACCAGGGCTCGAACCCATGTCCCCTGCATTGGCAGGCGGATTCTTAACCACTGTGCCACCAGGGAAATACCCCACTCCCCTTTTTTTAAAAACATATTTAAACTGCATCTTTTTGCAGTGATTTTAAAAAGCCTGATGAGCAGGCTAATTTTTTCCCTCTGTAGAGTTTGGTAGAAGTGTACCATGTAAGACATGAAATTAAAATGTTCAAGTAAATGAAGTGTCAATGAATTTGTTTACATGTGAATTCTCTGTGAGAATTAAGTTGTAATCTCTCATGTTTAAAAGCTGTCAAATAAAAAGCATTATGGGAGAAGCCCAGGAAACTTTCTCTGTTTAAAAAAAAAAAAAGTCAATGAAAATGAAAACTAATTAGTAAAACTTTAAGAAAAATCATTGTTGATTGAAATTTAGGCCATCACCTCGTAACATTCATACTACCACAGCACTCATGAAAAGCAATATAATAACGATGAAGAGCACAGCACACACGATTGTGGATCGACTGTTTCTTTGCCTTGTCCAAAGGGAGGCACACATGGCAAGAAATTTATTTCCACATACAGTAATTTGCTTAAGTGAGATTTTTGTGATTGAAACATGACATATTTCTATTCTGCCCTTTTTAACCTATAAATATTATACCTGCTGGCTGTGGAAAACAAAAAAACCCCCATAATTCCATACCTAAATTTCATAAGTTTAAAATGTTGCTGTCTTTCTGTGAGATCTGAACACTGAAGGGAATTTTAAACATTTAAAATGAAGTAGTGTGGACTTCCAAGCATGAAATATTTAAACTCATCATATATTTAATACAATAAGTGTAAGTCCCATGTTGGTTACTAAAATGTTGCCATTTACAACAGCATGACTGAGCTGGACAAGGAAATAAGCACCTTGAGAAGTGGCCTGAAAGCAGTAGAGACGGTGAGTATGTTTCTCGTTCTAATTCCCAGTCCCTTCACTCTCTCTGGTGCTGGTGATGGCATCCAGCAGAGGAGTTGCTGGTTGCCTTGGCATGCAGGATAAACATTTATTGTTTAAACAAAAGAAAAAAAAATGCAACAGCGAAGAAGCAAAGGCAGGCTGTGTTTAGCCTGGTGATGCAGTGGCAGGCAGCAGGATGTCATGGGGGCATCAGGGGAACAGGAACTGGGAAATCGGACCCAGAGTTCCACCACTTTCCTACCTGTGAGGCAGGACTCATGAAAGAGGATTGGCTAGAGAGTCTTCAAGGTCTTCTCGGTGTTTCTGTTTATAAATGATGTTTACTCTCAGAGCAATGGAACTTCTCTGTTGTCTTTGAGCCGGTCCCTTGGGGAGTATTTTTTGAGCACTTTGGGGGTTCAGTCCATTCTCAAGGCGAGGGGATCACGATGACTCAGAATCCTTACCCTCCAGGTGTTAACAGTGGCCAGGAGCAGTCAGTCCAGTTCACCTCCTAAGTGATGACAAAGGTGCCTTGAGGAGGATCGGGGATTTAGGTTAGCCCGAGGCTTCGGGAATGGGTGGCGTGTGTGAGAGGAAGCTTCTCCTCTGGACGAGATGAAGTTTGAGCTGTGGCTTAGAAGGAGGGTAGGGTGAACTTAGGTACAGAGGAGGGAGGCTGTCTCAGCCTGGGCCCGGGCTCCATGGAAGGAAAGCAGGTCAGCGTGCCGGAGGCAGTGGAGCCGGTGGAACTAACCCAGACTGTGAGGGCACAGTGCCCCGTGGGTACCGCACGAGGGCTGCTGACAGGGTGGGGGCGGGTCAAGGTGAGAAGCCTCGCTCGGGAGAGCAGAGCTCTGGCCTGGCACTTGGTGAAGGAGGCTGGTCTGCAGGCAGCTCGGGAAGGTGCCCCACAGATCATTTATCAGTAACGCCAGGAGGACCCTCCTCCTTTTTTAAAAATAACTTTATCTATTTTTTATTTTGTCTGCATTGGGTCTTCGTTGCCGCTTGCCGGCTTTCTGTAGTTGAGGCGCGCAGGCTTCTCAGTGCGGTGGCTTCTCGTTGCGGAGCATGGGCTCTAAGTGCATGGGCTTCAGTAGTTGCGGCACCCGGGCTTCAGTGGTTGCGGCACGCAGGCTTCAATGGTTGTGGCTTGTGGGCTTAGCTGCTCCACGACATGTGGGATCTTCCCGGACCAGGGCTCGAACCCGTGTCCCCTGCATTGGCAGGTGGATTCTTAACCACTGCGCCGCCAGGGAGGTCCCACCTCCTCCTTCTTATAATCATAAAACTGTGCCATAGAAAGTAGTTGACTTCATTAAAGAAACAGCTCTAATAAAAATTAGAGTCACAGTGTCTAACCTTTTCTATTTTTAATAAATTAAGGAGCATGTAAGGTTTTCTTTTTTTCCTTATTTTGGGGGAGGGGGTAGGGGTGGTCGCTGTTTAAAAAGAGCAGTAGATACTCTTTTTTCCAGCCCCTGTGGGCTGAGAGACTGTGAGTGCGCGTGGAGGACAGTCCTCGGCTTTCAGAGGCCAAACTGGATAAGGGCAGTTTGGGACAAGGCTTGTGTTACAGTCTTCACTCTGCGGCCATTTCCTCCCAGTGGAAAGCTTTCTTGAGACTAGCATGGCAGTGACTGACAGTCCTAAAGCCTGACAGTGGAGGCTCTGACCCCTGCATCTGAGCTAGTTCAGAGCAAGGCATGAGAGAGGGGTCCCAAGGAAGTTATGTGTTTGGGGGGTTTATTAAATGTTGTTTTGCTGAAATCTCTCTAGCCCCTGGGTCATGTACAATGTAACACACTCTTCACAGAAAAGGGGCTACAGAGGCCTCCCCTTTCCTCTGGCAGCTTAAATGTTAAGAGGAAGGAAATATTGGGAGGCAGGCTTTAATCCGTTGAAACATTCATGTGTCCCAGTTGTTCTTTTCACAAATTGATTACATTGCTTGAAGGTATCAAAGACAGAATTCTTATGGAATTATACATTCATGAAACACTTTAAAATTGCTTTCACATCTCTGCACCTCACACACATACATACACTCCCTTTCCAGGTCAAAGAGCTAGGATTGTGGCAATTTCTTTTAATCAGGGCAAGTTTCATGATTTATAAGGGTTTCCGCTTCTTTTCTTGCATTTGATTCCCATGATCATGTGTATATTACCCTCCTTTATTTATTTATTTATTTTTAAACATCTTTATTGGAGTATAATTGCTTTACAATGTTACTTGTAACTTGTCAGTTACAATTGCTTTACAAAGTTTCTGCTTTATAAAAAAGTGAATCAGTTATACATATACAAATGTTCCCATATCCCTTCCCTCTTGCATCTCCCTCCCTTCCACCCTCCCTATCCCACCCCTCTAGGTGGTCACAAAGCACTGAGCTGATCACCCTGTGCTATGCGGCAGCTTCCCACTAGCTATCGATTTTACGTTTGGTAGTGTATATATGTCCATGCCACTCTCTCACTTTGTCACACCTTACCCTTCCCCCTCCCCATGTCCTTAAGTCCATTCTCTAGTAAGTCTGTGTCTTTATTCCCGTCTTGCCCCTAGGCTCTTCATGACTTTTTTTTTTCCCTTAGATTCCATATATATGCGTTAGCACACGGCATTTGTTTTTCTCTTTCTGACTTACTTCACTCTGTATGACAGACTCTAGGTCCATCAACCTCACTACAAATAACTCAATTTCGTTGCTTTTTATAGCTGAGGATTATTCCATTGTATATATGTGCCACATCTTCTTTATCCATTCATCTGTTCATGGACACTTAGGTTGCTTCCATGTCCTGGCTATTGTAAACAGAGCTTCAATTAACATTTCAGTACATGACTCTTTTTGAATTGGTCATTCTATTTTTAGTTTTTTAAGGAACCTCTATACTGTTCTCCATAGTGGCTGTATCAATTTACATTCCCACCAACAGTGCAAGAGTGTTGCCTTTTCTCCACACCCTCTCCAGCATTTATTGTTTGTAGATTTTTTGATGATGGCCATTCTGCCCGGTGTGAGATGGTATCTCGTTGTAGTTTTGATTTGCATTTCTCTAATGATTAATGATGTTGAGCATGCTTTCACGTGTTTGCTGGCAATCTGTATATCTTCTTTGGAGAAATGTCTATTTAGGTCTTCTGCCCATTTTTGGATTGGGTTGTTTGATTTTTTGTTATTGAGCTGCATGAGCTGCTTGTAAATTTTGGAGATTGATCCTTTGTCAGTTGCTTCATTTGCAAATATTTTCTCCCATTCTGAGGGTTGTCTTTTCATCTTGCTGATGGTTTCCTTTGCTGTGCAAAAGCTTTTAAGTTTCATGAGGTCCCATTTGTTTATTTTTGTTTTTATTTCCATTTCTTTAGGAGGTGGATCAAAAAGGATCTTGCTGCGATTTATGTCATAGAGTGTTCTGCCTATGTTTTCCTCTGAGAGTTTGATAGTTTCTGGCCTTACATTTAGGTCTTTAATCCATTTTGAGTTTATTTTTGTTTATGGTGTTAGGGAGTGATCTAATTTCATACTTTTACATGTACCTGTCCAGATTTCCCAGCATCACTTACTGAAGAGGCTGTCCTTTCTCCACTGTACATTCCTCCCTCCTTTATCAAAGATAAGGTGACCATATGTGTGTGGGTTTATCTCTGGGCTTTCTATCCTGTTCCATTTATCTATATTTCTGTTTTTGTGCCAGTACCATACTGTCTTCATTACTGTAGCTTTGTAGTATAGTCTGAAGTCGGGGTGCCTGATTCCTCCAGCTCCATTTTTCATTCTCAAGATTGCTTTGGCTATTCGGGGTCTTTTGTGTTTCCATACAAATTGTGCAATTTTTTGTTCTAGTTCTGTGAAAAATGCCAGTGGTAGTTTGATAGGGATTGCATTGAATCTGTAGATTGCTTTGGGTAGTAGAATCATTTTCACCATGTTGATTCTTCCAATCCAAGAACATGGTATATCTCTCCATCTATTTGTATCCTCTTTAATTTCTTTCATCAGTGTCTTATAATTTGCTGCATACAGGTCTTTTGTCTCCTTAGGTAGGTTTATTCCTAGATATTTTATTCTTTTTGTTGCAATGGTAAATGGGAGTGTTTTCTTAATTTCACTTTCAGATTTTTCATCATTAGTGTATAGGAATGCTAAAGATTTCTGTGCATTAATTTTGTATACTGCTACTCTACCAAATTCATTGATGAGCTCTAGTAGTTTTCTGGTAGCATCTTTAGGATTCTCTATGTATAGTATCATGTCATCTGCAAACAGTGGCACCTTTACTTCTTCTTTTCTGATTTGGATTCCTTTTATTTCTTTTTCTTCTCTGATCGCTGTGGCTAAAACTTCCAAAACAATGTTGAATAATAGTGGTGAGAGTGGGCAACCTTGTCTTGTTCCTGATCTTAGTGGAAATGCTTTCAGTTTTTCATCATTGAGGATGATGTTGGCTGTGGGTTTGTCATATATGCCCTTTATTATGTTGAAGAAAGTTCCCTCTATGCCTACTTTCTGCAGGGTTTTTTTTTATCATAAATGGGTGTTGAATTTTGTCAAAAGCTTTCTCTGAATCGATGGAGATGATCATATGGTTTTTATTCTTCAATTTGTTAATATGGTGTATCATATTGATTGTTTTGCGTATATTGAAGAATCCTTGCATTCCTGGGATAAACCCCACTTGATCACGGTGTACGATCCTTTTACTGTGCTGTTGGATTCTGTTTGCTAGTATTTTGTTGAGGATTTTTGCATCTATGTTCATCAGTGATATTGGCCTGTAGTTTTCTTTTTTTGGCATTTTTGTCTGGTTTTGGTATCCCGGTGATGGTGGCCTCATAGAATGAGTTTGGGAGTGTTCCTCCCTCTGCTATATTTTGAAGAGTTCGAGGAGAATAGGTGTTAGCTCCTCTCTAAATGCTTTATAGAATTCACCTCTGAAGCCATCTGGTCCTGGGCTTTTGTTTGTTGGAAGATATTTAATCACAGTTTCAATTCC